TTACTGTACTTACCGTACCAGATTTCAGTGAGGCAGTGCGCGCGGGCAACCCGGCTCCTGCTGAACAAGCTCCTCTTGTAGCTCGATCGGTCGCACCGCCACCACCGCCGACGTCTCCCAGGGAGACGATGGAGAGGGGGGACGACACTGCTTCAGCAGCGTGCACCTCGATCCTGAGTGAGACTGTCGGTTGGTTGTGTATGACCCCCCCCCAATCAATGAACACACCAGTGAGGGAGGGCGAGACGATCGAGGGGTCCCGTACCATGCGGAATCGACCCTATCCAGTGCTCAAGTACCAGAATCGAGAATAGAACGAGAATTTCGAGAAATGTCGAGTTTTGAGGTAAGTTGTGATGTGTACTATGTAAAACTCTGAGACGAGATGGGATTTAGGGACATGTGTCCCCGCCCTGCACGATCTTGGTGTGAGGGATCTTCAATCCGTGTCCCCTCACCCCTCGTCACAACCCGACACGGAAGAGCGGCAAGAGTTGGGGCTGCGGCTACGGCTGCGGCTATGAGAGGGGCCGGGGTCGCGGGAGAGCCGCTGCGCCGCGTGGACGCGCCTACACCGCTCTTGCTCCGCTCGCCACCTCTCGCAAAGGTCCAAAGCCATAGCCACCACCTCCTCCGGCAAGTCCTTTCGCCGTATCTCGCCGTCCCTCCACGCCTGGAAGAGCTCGTCGTCATAGCCGTATTGCATCACAGCCTGCTGAACTGCGTCGTGTACTCGCATAATGTGGGTAAACGAAAAAAGTAGCGCGCAATTCGTCTACGTACGGCTTAGTGTGTGGTTGGGGTGGCCTCAGGCATCCCCAAGGGAGCCTCTGCGGTGCCACATAAGCAGCTGAGTGATTGTCGAGACTTTAAAGGATTCGTTTGAAGAAACGCAAACAAGACAAACGGTACTATGGTCACCAGTAAACGAAAATTCGACTTTGAGGGATCATATCTCAAAAGGCTGGGTGAGAGCATAGCATTATTGTTGCATATTATACCACATAAGGTCAAACTTGACCCCAGAAGCATCAAGAACCCGATGCTCCGGCTCGACTGTGCCGGCACACTGCCTCCTCGCGCACGCTGCTCGCAGGCCGTTGCGGCCCGTGGTGCACCAGAGAGAGAGGTCGACGCGTTGCCCCCGCCGGCGACCCCGCGCGGCTCAGGCCAGCCAGAAGGTGTGTGGTGACGGCACCGTGGCAG